TCGCCTAGCTATCTTATTTTTACTTTATGTGTATGCGTGTATTGCCTGCATGTAGGTAAGTGCACCCGTGACGTGCAAAGCCGGCGGTCTCAGAGGAGGCTGTGGGATCTCCTGGAACTGGAGTTACAGACAGTTGTTAGCTGCCATGAGAATGGTGGGATTCGAACCTGGGTCTTCTGCAAGAACAGTCAGTGTTCTTAACCACTGAGCCATCTCTCCAGTCCCTCTTTCCTCATTTTTACACATCAGATACTGTGCTACCACCGCTGAGTTTTCTATTGAGCTAAGGGAAATTTGGAGATGAATGCTTGATTCAGCCCAAGGAAATCATCTTCAGGAGATTGTACACCTGGAGCAGCAACTGCTTAGGGAAACAGAAACACGGAGCATCTGAAATCACGACAGTCTCCGCATGAGTCCCATGAAATTGTGGAGACTTGTCTCAATCCTGCACCTGCGTCCACTTGGCCCACGTTTGATGCTGTTGGAACTACATTACCCAGAAGACACCGCGTAGAGGAGCAAGAAATTTCAGCCAATGAAACAGGATGTTTCCCTACCAACAACTAATACTGGGAGGACTTTAAGCGTTTCGTGGCTGTGATTTCTTTTCTTAAGTTTTTGAATGGGAGTTCAGGTCTTCAGAGAGCTGGTTTTGTGCTCCGTGGGCCAGGGCAGCCGGGTGCCAGAGGAGAAGGGTTTGTCTGGTGGCACAGAGGCAGGGCTGGTACCTGCTACTTCCGGTGTGACTGCGCCAGGCCCAGCTCTGCCTATAAGTTCCATGGAGTTGGCTGTGGCGAAAGCACCGGCTCAGGTGAGTCCAGGTCCATCTGTCGCCACCAGAATTCTAGAGCACAGTTAAGGGTCTGCGGTAGGGGGTTGCTTGTGCTGGGGTTCTGTTTTTTAACATGTGTACTGGGATGCGATACTTCGGAATCTCAGAGGCAGATGGACAGCATTTGGCGAAGACTTGGAGGCGGGCAGGAGTTCAGAGTCCTAAATTCAAGGTTTGCCTGCTGCTATCAGGGAACATGGACCTTCATTGTGAAGGCGCTGGGTTGTCAGGGTGGAGACAGGGAGACCTTTGGGCATGAAAATCCAGTGGACTAACGCACGGGGTTGGTGGGTCTGTAACAAAGAGGTGACAACAGAGGAGGAGATGATTGATCTAATCTCGGATGGATTTTGAAAACTGAGCCGATAGGACTTCCTGCTCATCAGATGTATCTGTGAAAGAAAGTAGAGGAAAAAGGACCATTCTAGTGTTGCGACCCCCTCACCCTTCCCATACCCATTTGGAGGGATGGATGTAGGGGAGCTTGTGTAAGGAGTACGTTTCAGGTACTTAGATGGATTTTGGCCATGGTGATCTTGAGATGCTCAGAATGAAAAGTATCACTTAGTCTGCTCACTAACAGCTGGAATTTGAGGAAGGACCTGACTAGGGGGTAACGAAAGGGTGGTCAGTGGAGACCAGGGCCAACACAACTCCTGGGCTCCTGTGTAGGAAGGAGAATTTTAAGATTTTTGTCTTGTTCTGTTTTGAGTGGACCCTGAGGTGAAGGAAGGGTGAGATGGGGCTGGAGGGTGGGTTTGTTTCCACAGTGGTGGAGTCCCATGGACTGATGTGTTTCTAGCTGGGTTACCACAGGGTTAGAAGGTTTGAATATATAAGCATTTTGGACTGAGAGGGAGATCTAGGTGTTGAGTGGTAGGGCTTGACTTGGTAGGCCTTCATGCCCACTCCCTGAGGAAAAAGGGAAGGTAGGTGACGTTGTTGGAGCAACTTATTTTTTGACTACACCTCGTTGTTTCACACCTATGAGGGATGACGACCTGCCTCAAAGGAAAGGCTGTTAGCTGAATTCCCTCCTTGAGGGTGTATACCAGGCAGATAGCTGAAACTTAGAACCTGATTTCTCAGGGCCAGCCTCCCTGAGTTTTTGAATTTATGAAATAAGTACATGTTTAGTGCACATGAGATAGATAGCTTAAGAGGTAAAGGCACTTGCTTCTAAGCATGACAACCTGAGTTTGATCCCCAGGATTTACAATGTGGAAAAAGAGGACTGAGTTTTGCACATTGTCCTTTGATCTCCAGTGCATGGGCACATGTCCACATCCACATACAATAAAGAAATATAATAAAATTAATAGAAATAAATCCATGCTTAAATAATAATTGACCAAGATACATACACAAACAGGGGCAACTAAAATAACATAGATATAACACATTCTTGTAAGCACTTAGCAATTGGTTGAAAACTTATGTAGCATTTAATTAAAATTAACCATTGTGGAGCTGGAGAGATTGCTCAGGGGTTAAGAGCACTGGCTGCTCTTGCAGAAGACCCAGTTTCAATTTCCAGCACCCCTATGGAGGCTAACACCTTCCATAACTCCATTTCCAGGGGATCTGATGCCCTTTTCTGGCCTCCATGAGCACTGCATGACACGGATGCACTTGCATACATGTAGGCAAAACACTCATACACATTAAAATTTAAATAAATAAATAAAGTCAACCATCTTGTACATCCTATTCTTCACTGAATATTTATTTTAAAAAGGCCCTACATTTATAAACCTGCTTGTTGATTTCATCTGAAACTCTTGACAGCTGCATTTATATGTGCAGGAAGAGACTGTACTAAGTACTTGACACATAGGACATAGGACTGAGTTTGAAGCAATAAAACTATTTTTTTAATTTGTTTGTTTTGTTTGTTTTTGTTTTTTTTTGCAACGGGATTTCCCTGAAGCCCAAGCAGGCCTGGAACTCACTATGTAGACCAGGCTGGCCTTGAACTCACAGAGATCCACCTGCCTCTGCCTCCCAAGTGCTGGGACTACAGGCATGCAACACCACACCCGGCTGAAACAATAAAACTCTTCGGAGTAGGATTGCTGTTCTTTTCCTCATTTTCCAGAGGACATGACAACACTGAAGTGTTTGGTGCCATATACAAGGACACATAGTAGGAGACCTCACTGAACTCTAATGCCAAGATGGTATTTAGGTATATCTGAGTGTACGTAGAGAGAGGGCTTGCATCGTCCTTTTGATGCCAGTGTCATTCATTGTTACCCAGAGTCTTGTTTTGCTACAGATTCCTGTTGATGCAGAGATACCTAGAGACCACGAAGAGGTAAGTAGACAATGTTTAAGTGATCTCTGGGATTTAGTATTCTAGGACTCTTTGCTGTGACTCTTTGGTGATCACAGAATACAAGGTCTCTGACTGCAGAGTATGGATTCTGTGGAACAGTTCCCATTTATGGCAACCACCGACACGAAACTCAGAAGGTATTAAGATTCCAGCGATGAACAGTAGAAAAGGAAAATGATACCGGATTTGGAATGCTCAGCAAAGCTTTTGTGTGCATTGTGTCTAGTGGAAAGAGTGAAAGGCAGGAGTTAGGTCTGGGACGGTATCTGAGGATTTGGAACTTGCGTCCTGAGATGGAAACAGAGATGCAGTGTCAAGAGTGATGTGCGTGTTGACAGGGAATGTGCTTAGCTGGCCTCAAGGCCCATATACCAGCGGTATAATAGAGAACAGTGACCCCCAAGTCTGATCATAGCTGGGAGAACCCCATGTGAGTTTATCCATAAGGAGGGTGGATGGACTTTCAATGTCAGTGCCAATCTTGGATGGACTCAGTCTGTCCACCTACCTTTTGTTGTTGAGTGATGAACTCAGTGGGACCTTGAGGAGGGACAGGGTTCCAGTGGCTCCAGGGGGCTGCATCCATGTGGCATGAAGCTAAGCGGGAATGGATATCTAGAGTCCCTGGAAAGGAGGTTTCATATAAACTCAACTTTTCCCATTGTGGCAGTGCCCTGTGGCCTTTAAGGATGTGGCTGTCTACTTCTCAAGGGAGGAATGGACACTGCTTGATGATGCTCAGAGGCTCCTATACCGAAGTGTGATGCTGGAGAACTTTGCACTTATGGCCTCTTTGGGTAAGGGCCTCTCACCACATGAGCACATACCAAGGTGGGCTTGACTCCTCTCGTTTTCCTAAAGGCAGACATATCCTTTGCGCAGTCCGTGCTGGCTACCTTCTTGCTCTGAAGTACAGCAGAGACATGCCAGAAGGTGCTTAGGGTCAGGACTCTTATAGGCAGCCCAATAAAGCTCACTTTGATGGTCTCTCCATGGTCTAGTGACGCTGTGAACACAGGCTAGATCTGTGACAGATCCTGTCCTCTTCCTCTAGTTGACATGCCTTTGTTCTGCCTGTGGTAGGGATTGTGGCACAGTTTTGACTGGGTTATTCTTGGATGACATTTCTCCAAGAATCTTTTCCATTAGTTTTCTTTCCTGTGGACTGTCATGGTTGGGTTACTCTGTCCTAATATGGCTTTTTATCTGTCCTACTTTCCTTTAGGATTTGTCCATTCTACGAGTCATGGTATCACTCAGCTGGAGTCCTGGGAAGAGCCCTTTATGACTGCAATAAGATTCCTGACTCCAGGTATGTTGATAGGTACTTGAATGGTTGAGCTTGGTGATATGTGTACTCTGGGATAGATTAGAAGAATCTGTCTATTGCTCTCATGTTTTTGTGCCAAGGCAAAGGATCATGATAGATTTCCATCTTATCTTCCATAGTCACCTACTTGTCACTTCTTTTTTTTATCTGACCTAGGACTATCCCTCACTTATCTGCTGTGTTTTGTCTGGTTTCCTGCAGCACTGTGAAACAGTAGCTTTCCCTGACTACACTGATATCCTTAGTAGTCACTGAATGCATGTTCTTTTTTTTTTTTTTTTTTTTGGTCTTTTTGAGACAAGGTCTTCCTGTCACCCCAGCTGGACTGAAACTCAGTATGTAGACCAGGCTGGTCTTGATCTCACAGAGGTCCACCTGACTCTATCTCCTGAGTGCTAGGATTAAAGGCCTGTGCCACCAAGTGGAGCAACTCCTGTTTTGTTTTTGTTTTTTATTTATTTAAATTTTTTTGGTCTTTTTGAAAAAGGGTCTCCCTGTGGCTCCAGCTGACCAGGAACTCACTATGTAGACCAGGCTGGCCTTGAACTCACAGAGATCTGCCTGCTTCTGCCTCCCAAGTGCTGGGATTAAAGGTATGTGCCACCATGCCTGGCTAAGTCAGCACTTTTTATGTTTCTAGACAAATCCTTCTGTACTGTGTTCTCCATCTCCAAGAACTGAGGCCATGTGGAAAGCTGCATACCATCCTTGTGGCCTGTGATCTTGGCCATTTCAATACCAGCCGACTCTACCCACTCTCACCATTTCACCCTCCTAAAACTCTCATGTGCTCATCACTGTCATGTTCTGTGTGTCCCAACAAAGCCTATTTCCTTTCATCAGTGTTTCTCTGCATTCAGGTTGGTGGCATGAAGCTGAGGCTGGAAAGGCCCCCTTTCAGCAGACTGGTTCTACAGATGGAGAGCTTAGTGCCACCCTGCACCAGCAGCATATGCTGACATGTGCTGAGAAACCCGTACAGAAAGAAGACGGCAGGACCCTAGTTTTCAAGAGTCTACTCAAGAAGAGTTTGCAAAGCAGAGTCAATGGGATGGATGTTCAAACCAATACAGATCTCCTCAGGCATCAGGTGATTTACAGTGGTGAGGAGCCACCCAGGAGCATGGAGAGCGGAAAGGCCTGTCACACCGAGAACAGGAGCTACAGATGCAGTGACTGTGGCAGAACCTTCAGTCAGAATTCTGTGCTTATTCAGCACCAGAGAATACACACTGGAGAAAAGCCTTACGAATGCGGTGAATGTGGGAAACTATTTAGCCATAAATCTAACCTTGTGGTACACCAGACAATTCACAGCGGAGAAAGGCCTTATGTATGTGCTGAATGTGGGAAATCCTTCAGCCGAAACACCTATCTTATTCAACACTGCAGAGTTCATAGTGGACACAAGCCTTTTAAGTGCAGTGAGTGTGGAAAGGCTTTCAGGCATAACTCCACACTTGTGCAGCACCACAGAATCCACACCGGAGTAAAGCCTTATGAATGTGGGGAATGTGGGAAAGTCTTCAGCTTCAACTCCAGCCTCGTGAAACATCAGAGACGTCACACTGGAGAAAGGCCTTATAAGTGCACTACATGTGGAATGACTTTCAGGTATAACTCCTCACTTGTTGAACATCAGAAAGTTCACACTGGAGAAAGGCCTTATAAGTGCAGCAGATGTGGCAAATCATATAGTCATAGGTCCAGCCTTAAAAATCACTGGCGAGTTCACACTGGAGAAAAGCCCTATGAGTGCCGTGAATGTGGAAAATCATTCAGGCAACATTCTAGCCTTTTTGATCATTGCCGAGTGCATACAGGAGAAAAGCCTTTTGGGTGCAGTGAATGTGGGAAGTCTTTTAGCAAGAACTCTAACCTCAAGCAACACCTAAAAGTTCATATCAGACCAAAGCCTTTCAAGTGCAATGAATGTGGGAGAATCTTCACCATGTATTACAGCCTCATTAAACATGAGAGAGCTCACATTGCACCAAAGCGTCACAAGTGCAGGGAATGTGGGAAAGTTTATCGCTACAGTTCTGGCCTTTCCAAACATCGGAAGATTCACACTGGATAAATTCATCATGAGTGTGGGAAGTCCTTTAGTGGTCCAACCTGAATACACACCAGAAAGTTCATCAGACAGACATCTTGAGTGCTTCAAATGTGCAGAGCCTTCACCCAGACCTCCAACTTATTAAAGGTGGAGAAGTCACAGTGCTCAGATGCATCATGAATGATCTAATTAGGGAAGTCTTTAAGCAAAAATCTGGTCTGACTAGCAACATAAACACAACCCAGACAGGGTTTATGAATGCAGAGGATATGGAGAAAAGCTTCAGCCATTGGCCTTGATGGAAATGGATTTGATGACAACCTTGTTCATCTTTAGGCTTGAACTAGACTTAAAACAGAAGTTCTGAGTAACCTTTGTGAGGGATCCAACAGTTGACTATTCCTCATCAGATGGGCACGTCGAGACAAGGTGAGGATTGCAACCATCCTGCTCTTCCCATGACCCCAGGGAACTCAGGGAGAGCTACCTTTGTTTTCTTGACTATACCAATCTGGAGCAGAGTTTCAATCTTACTGAGTTTGGACAGGGAAGATCAGAGTGGCTTTGATGTATATATGACTGATGCATTCTCTTCTCACTGAAATAAATGCATTCTCCTTGAATAAACATTTCATGTATCCTTTTTATGATTGTTTCCAGAGGTTTCTGTTTTATTCATAGGTTTCAGTAGTTTTGCTGGGGACCACCTTCATGAATCTCCTCATCCTCTGATGTTTGAATGCAGTCCCAATGTTTTAAGTTTGTAAGAAGTTACCAAATTTTGTTGTAATTGTGTGTTTCATATTTCCTCCTTGAACATATCAGATACCATTGTTTACAAGTCTCATGAGCCATTCATTTTGTTCTTCTGAAAGGTACGTATTAGCCTATAATTGTGGTTTTATTTTTTATTTAAAATTTTAAATTATATTTATTTGTGTGCATCTTTGTGTGTATGTGTGTGAGTATGTGGCAGGCACATGTGTCAGAGGACAACTTGTGGTTGGTTCTCCCATCATAAGAGAGACCCCAGATTTAGTCGGGCATGGTGGTGGCACAGGCCTTTAATCCCAGCACTCAGGAGGCAGAGGTGGGTGTGCCACCTGTGAGATCAAGGCCAACATGGTCTACATAGGGAGTTCCAGGCCAGGTGGGCTACAGGGAAACCCTATCTCAAAATGAATAAATGAGCAAAAGAAAGAAAGAAGAGATCCCAGATGATGTGTTCAGTCTTGGTGACAAAGGCCTTTACCTGCTGAGCCATCTTGTCAGCTCAAGAATTGTGGTTTTAATTTGTATTTTCCTGTTGTGTTAATGTTTCTCCTTTTAAAAAGTGTCTATTTATAACTGACTTTTTATTTATTTAGTATTTATTTTGTATGTATGAGTGTGTTGCCTGTATGTGTATAGGTGCACCACGTTTGTACAGTGCCCTTGGAGATTAGAAGAGGGCATCGGAATCCCTTGGAACTGGAGGTATAGATGGTTATTAGCTCCCATGTGGGTACTGGGACTCGAACCTGGGTCCTCTGCAAGAGTAGCCAGTGCTCTTAACCACTGAACCATCTCTTCAGCCCCAGGTCATTGTCTTTTTTGCCTCACATCAGTTGAGTGCTTCCCAGGGACAGCAGCTCGATCATGTTACTTTAAATGAAAATGGGATGTTTACAGATAAAGCCTCTCAACAGGCAGGCCTCATGGTCTACAAAGAAAGGAAAAATAAAAGGTAACGGAAACACAGCATAAACATAATCTAAGGTGTATTGGGACGTCCTGCTCTTGTTGAAAGAAAATAATAACTCCTCTATATGGATCGTTGTGTATCATACATCTCATGAGTAGATGAAGCTTTCCTAAAACCATCTGAGAAATTTGGAGCTTAAGGTGAATTTATTTGATGAGAACTTCATATCTGCCTTTTTAAATGTAGCTTCAAATACATGTGCAAGAAGTGACCCTCGGTGTTCCACATGGATAATGTTTCAGTTATATGGTAAAAATATGCTCATGGACTAGAAAGATGGCTCAGCAATTAGGAACAAGCACTTGCTGCTATTGCTGTGGATCTTTATTACCAATATGGGCCAGCACACAATGGCCAATAATTACAAGTCCAGAGGAATCTTCTGCCCTCTTCTGGTCTCTGCAGTTACTGCATGCACAGTGGTGCTTATACAGACAATCAGGCACACACACACACACATGAATAGAAATAACATAACTATTGATAAGACTGAAGGCAAGTATGTATGCAAGTGAAAGAGCAATTTACCAGCATGTGCAAGCTGTGTTCCCTATTACAATAAATAAATGTTCATGATGTAAAATTGTGTTAAAAGTGTATTATACAAGCTGGATGTGGTGGGACCTTTAGTCCCAGCACTCAGGAGGCAGAGGCAGGCAGATCTCTGTGAGTTGGAGGCCAACTTGGTCTACATAGTGAATCCAGGCCAGCTGTGGCTGCAGGGAGACCCTGTCTCAAAAAGGAAAAAAAAGAAAAAAAGTGCATCATACAAACCATTGGCTTTAGGAAATGTAAATATATGTGGTTAACATTTATGGTAGTTTTTAACTGGTTATATAATTTATGATTTTTAAAAAAAGATTTGGGGGAGGGAGGGAGGGGGGAGGCCAAAGATTTGGGGGGGGAGAGAGGGGAGGGAGAGAGAGAGAGAGAACAAAGGCATCAGATTCCCCTGTAGCTCAAGTTACATGTGGTTGTGAGCCACTAAATGTAGGTGCTAGGAACTGAACTTGAGTCTTCTGCAAGAACAGTACACACCTCTAATGCTGAGCCCTCTCTCCATCCCCATAAAATTTCTGAGTTTTATGAATTCCTTATATAAAGCTAGGCATGGTGACATATGCGTTTAATCCAAATACTTGGGAAGCAGAGGCAGGCCTGTCTACATAGCAAGTTTTGGGCCAGCTGGGGCTACAGGGAGAGCCTGTCTCAAAAACAAACAAACAAACAAACAAACAATCAAACTCCTTACATAAAGTATTTCAAAGTTTGCTAGCGTGAACAATTTTGAATTTTTTAATTAAAAATTTAAAAGAACTACAAAAAATGAATAAAGTAAAATAATTTAATGTGTAGATAAGAACTATAAATGACTTAAGCAACCCATTTCATTTTTGGGAAAATGATAATCCTCCTTGGTAAAACAGGGCTGGAGAGATGGCTCGGAGGTTAAGAACACTGGTTGTTCTTGCAGAAAACCTGGGTTTGAATCCCAGCACCCACATGGTAGCTAACAACTGTCCCTAACTCCAGTTCCAGGGAATCTAACAGCCTCTTCTGTCTTCCTCAGGCATTGCACGACATGGGTGCACTTACCTACATGCAGGCAATACACGCATACACATCAAATAAAAATAAAATATTTAAAAAATTAAAATTAAATTTATTTTAAAATTCTTCCCCCAGAGATAACAAAATGTTATCTCTAAATATTATGACTCATGTCAATTCAACTAAAATTTAGGGACTAAATGATAGCACAGCACTTCCCTTTAGAAAACAGTAAAGGCTCAGACACTTTTCAGGTCTGTTTAAAAGGCCAAAATAAGACCTGGAGAGGTGGCTCATTAGTTAAGAGAGCATGATGAGTTAATAATGAAAACCAGAACTTCTGGGGCTGGAGAGATGGCCCAGGGGTTAAGAGCACTTGCTGCTGTTGCAGAGGACCTGGGTTCAGTTCCCAGGACCCATAAGGCAGCACACAATGGCTTCTAAGGACTCCAGTTCCAGGGGATCAGGCGCCCTCTCCCGGCCTCTGTACACACTGTATACATACGGCATATAAACATAAATACAGGTAAAACACATACTGAGAATTAAAAAACAAAACCCAAACCGAGAGCTTCACCGTCGCTGATTTTTCTATTGAGCATCTCAGTGCTAAAGGAAATTGGGGCTAAGTGATTCAACTCAAGGAAACCTGGATATTCCTCGGAAAGAAAGACGGGCGCAGTAGCTGATCAGGGAAACCGAGGCAGATCAACTCTGGAAACTCATTCTGGAGCTCCATCTGTCCAGCTGTGTCCACGCCAGCCACGGTTGATGCTGTAAGAAATACATTACCCAGAACCGATCGAGTCGACGGGCGAGGAAACTTGACCAATAAAAACAGGAGTGTGCTTCCCATAAATCGGGAAGGCGGGACTTCCGGGGTCCAGGCTTGATTCTTTTCAAGTTCTTGGCTGCGTCTGTCCTTTCAGCGGAACTGGATTTGTGTCCAGTTGGCCCCGGCGGGAAGGCGCGAAAGGAGGAACCCGGCTTTGTCCTCGCGCACCCAGACGGGTCTGAGGTCTGCGATGCCCCGTGTGACCCGCTGCAGGCCTGGGGTAGGGACCGCAGCATCCCCGTGTCCCGCTGGCCAGCAGAGCCGGATGGCGGCGGCTGTGCGGGGAGACCGGGCGCAGGTGAGTGTCACGTGATCCGGGACCCACCTGAGTCTCCTGGAGCAGTGAAAGTTGGGCCCGTGAATCTGCAGTATTGGGCCGGTTTCCTTCCCAGTGGGTCTCTTGTGGACGGTTTCCCTTAAAAAAA